TCCAGGGACCCCTTGGCAGCGTGTGGCTGGCTCTGGCTGGACGCCCATCGCTGGGCCGGGCGCAAGGAGGAAGCACATGCAGAGGCGACCCAGCGGCTGCGCGTTTCGGGGCGAGGGACGGTGCCGCTGCGCTGGGGGTGCAGACGGGCCGGCCCGCGGTGCCAGGACTCACTTGGTTACCACGCTGATCTTCACACCGAACACTCCAGTCTGCTTCTTGGACGGGGTCCTCTTCAGGCTCATGTCCCGGCTTGTGAACTTCATGGAGAACTCCACCTTGATCTGGGAAGGCCGGAGGGCTCAGTCACAGCACAGACCACAGCTCCCCTGCTTGCTGCAGGTGGGGCAGAGCCCTGGGCAGGGAGCAGACGGACCCTGGGCAAGCGGGCAGCAACCCCCTCCCCCGAGTGACGCTTCTTGGACGGGGTCCTCTTCAGGCTCATGTCCCGGCTTGTGAACTTCATGGAGAACTCCACCTTGATCTGGGAAGGCCGGAGGGCTCAGTCACAGCACAGACCACAGCTCCCCTGCTTGCTGCAGGTGGGGCAGAGCCCTGGGCAGGGAGCAGACGGACCCTGGGCAAGCGGGCAGCAACCCCCTCCCCCGAGTGACACAGGCAGAGGAAAAAGGGGGGGGGGGGGGTGCAGGTGCATGGCCAGTGCCTGGCCATCGCCCCAAGAGGAACAAGCAGTGAACGGGCCTCACGTGACCTACCCCGTTCATCTCAATCACGTCCACATGCCAGTTCTTGGTCGGCACGGCCTGCGGATCCAGCTGCCAGGGAAGAGGAGACAGTGAAATTCCCACCTGCCCCCCGGAACGCTGTGAGCCCAGCCCCACTGAATGCCAGGTGGCGGGCAGCCGGGGGCACAGGCTTTTCCTGCCCTAGCAGAGCGGCATGCCCAGTGAGCAGGGATTTGAGCAAGGCGCCCCTCCTGCCCTGTGCCAGTCCCGACACTGGGCAGCAGCTGACCCAGCCGGCTTTGGCCCAGGCTGGTGGTTCCCTAGGGGCAGACCCCGACGAGGCTGGAGTTGTGGCACCCATGGGTGCCCCCCCATGCCCACTGGCAGGGCAGGTGTGGGGGGGGACAGGCCCTGGTGACCCCGAGGGCGCCTGCGTTCAAGCTAGGATCAGCCCCCAGCCTCCCTGTGCCCAAGGGCTGCTTTGCGGCAGCGCAGCCACAGCGAGGCTTTGGCTCTGGCCCTGGCGCTGAGCGAGCTCCACTGCGGCGGAGCCAGGCCGGGGCCCGGACTCAGGGCTATTTCTGGAGCAGCTCGCTGAGCAGGGAGAGGGCAGCGTTTTCCACACGCCCCTCCCTGGCCACCGGGGCTATTTATAACCCTGGGAACTCGGGCCTGGCTGGCTGGGGTCACCCTGCTGTCGAACGTGGAGCCCCTGCAAGCCAGAGCCAAGCTGGGGCTCCCAGCCAGCTGCTCAGGTCCTGAGCCGGGGCGGGGCCTGCGCTGGCCTGCCAAGGCCCTGGCGCCTGCAGCCAGGGCCACGCGCGCGGCGGGCGAGGCGGGGGACCTTGGGGACGGGTGCAGGGGGGGGGCATCCGGCGGCAGCAAGTCACTGTGCTGCAGGGAGGAGTCCTGGTCTCTCCAGCTGCCTGGCAGCCCTCTCCTCTTGTGGCCCTGGCTCCGTCCCAG